GTGCCAGATACTAAGATATATTATGAAGCTACAAGTAATTAAAATATTGTTGTCTGACACATGAAAAGACAGATCAGTAGAGAAAAAAAATAGATCCAATACATATACAATTTTAGTTGCATATGTATGTGTGTTTAATATGTATATATACATATTATAAGTTAATATTTCAAATCATTGGTAAATAATTAGATTATTTAACCAATGATATTGGAAACACTGAGTAGCCACCTGGGAAGATAAATTGATTACTCTTTCACATCTTCCAACAAAATATATTCTAAATGGTTTAAAAATGTAAACATAAAAAAGTCGTCCAAATGCTGAGAAAGTTTGAGTTTTTCTTTAAATAGTCTTGGAATCGGTTAAGACGTTTTTGAGTAATGCCCACAGAATTCAGAAACCACTAAAAAAAATATTGAAAAATGCAACCACATCAGATTAAAGCATTTCTTTGTGGCAAGAGAACATCAGACAGTAATCATATCGTTAATTTCCTTAGCACCACAAGTCAATACCAGGGAGGGCAGTGAATTACTAGAAAACTGGGCAAAAATATGACCAGATGTTCACAGGATAAGAAATATCAATGGTTTTAACATTTATGTAAAGATATTCAACTTAGACTCAGTCATAATAATAGAAATGCAAACTAAAACTAAGACGTGACTTCTTTAAAAAAAAAAAAGAAAAAAAGTTTAATAAAAATGGCGCCGATGAGAGTGTGGGAGACCAACTCTCTGTCACACTGTAGGTGGGAATGTATGGATGCAATTGTCCTGAAGGGAAATTGAGTGAAGCAATATATCTTTCAGAACTAAAAATCGACTTAAGCTTTGGCCCACTAGTGCTTGTGGGGCCAACTGACATCCTTCAAAGTCCAATGACCCCCGTTTCTGGGCTCTCACATGCCTGCCCGTGATCCCTCGATGGATAAATTATATTCTTTTCTGGACGTGTTTCCCCTAACAGACGAATAGCCCTAGGAAGTGCCTAATATCACAACAGCTCAAGTTGGTTCATTTCAGCCCACTTTATCAGTCATAAACCCCAGCACCCTTCACAGACCCTAAACTTCTTACCTCGCCTACAACCAATCAGAGACTTGTGCACAAGCCAGTCAGGCACCTTGTGACCTGACCTTCTAAGAGACCCCCCAAACTGACCCTTGGTGCTCACACAGTCACCCCTCATCTGTGTGGCCCGCTGCTGTCCATGGCAGAGTACCCCTGACCCCCTAATGAACTCCCTTACTAGTCTCCTTCATCTCTGCTAAATTCTTTTACCAACACGCATCACTGTGTCATCAGCCCACTGCTGCCCTGTGTCCCACAACAACACTTCTAAGTTTTTATCCTGTGTATAAACTCTAACATGTGCAAAGTGATAAATGCACACTGATATTAATTATAGCAGTGTTTGTACTAACAAAATATCGAAAACAAATTTATACAGTGAAGAGTTAAATTATGCTATGTCACTACATTGTCGTACGCTGTTATTTCAAAAAGAAGGAGCTTCATATGTTCATGTGTTACAGAAACGCCAGGCCAGCCAAGAAACAAGCACCACTCGGAGGGTTGGAGCACTCAGATGTATTACGCCGGCGGGCTCAGAGGGGCTTCTGCTCCGAAGCCCTGAGCACCTCCAAGACGTGCGCATGAGGTTTTATAGGGTTAAGTACAAGCTTGGGGTATTTGGCCAATAGGCATGGAATAGCTTTAGCAGCATCATTATCACAAAAGTGGAGGCAGGGAGGCAGCAAACCAACATTCCAAAGCCAGATATGTATCTTTGAAAATCCAGCTGGCTAGCAAAAAACATGAACAGCAAACCAACACTAATTAACTTAGATTTACGAGTTAGTCCAGCAGAACTCAGATCAGTATTCCGATACTTAGATTTGTGAGTTACCTTGTTAGCCCAGCCCGGCTTTTCCTTCACACATGTATTGATTTGGGAAGACCTCCTGAAAATACACTAAGTCAAATGATTACAGACAGTATGTATTTTTTTTTTACCACCTGAGTGTGGGGAATGTAAAGAATCACATGTTTTAAATGCATTGACCATTCCTAGTCGGACCCTCAGAAACTAGTATTAGTAAGCGCTTCGGGGTCAGGGAGCTGGGTTGCTGAGGGACGGAGGTAGCGTTACCTGAAAACTGGGTTCGCCTCTTGGTGGGTGTGGAGCCAGAAGGCACCACCGAGGCAAGATCAAGAGAAGGAAGGATTCATTGCTTGAAGGACACCAGGGATCTTTCCCAAAGCAAGTGCTTCTCCCAAAAGCAAAACTGGGGAAGTTTTACACGAAAGGAACATACATATTCATGAAGGCGCTTGAGTAGAGGAGAACTGAGCGGAGAATTCAGCATCGAACTGGGGCAAAGGTTGACAGGGTCCATAAACAATCTATGGTTACTGGGGAAAGGGGTGGAAAGGAATGATTTTGGGAGTTTGAGATTTGCAAATGTTAACCACTATATATAAAAATAGATTAAAAAAAACAAATTTCTTCTGTATAGCACAGGGAACTATATTTAATGTCTTGTAATAACCTTTAATGAAAAAATATGAAAATGAATATATGTGTGTGTATGCATGACTGGGACATTGTGCTGTACACCAGAAACTGGCACATTGTAACTGACTGTGCTTCAATAAAAAAAAATTAAAAAAAAAAAAGGTTGATGAAGTCTAAGATTTAGTTGATTGAAGTCAGGAGGGTCAACATCATCCTTCCATCCTCCACCTGGGCGGGGCCCTGGTTCCTGCAGGACTCAAAGATAAGCATCAGACCATTCTGTAAATTCTCTGAGGAGGAACGAGGAGTCTGTTTTATCACTGAACTGCTGTTTCTTGCCAGCTCTTCCTTTGTTCCTGCATTCCCTCCCCTTTCTTGACATCATTAATTACTGAGCCCTGTTCAAAGGCAAACACTGCGGCCTGGCTTAGATCACAAAATGGCTTAGACCCTCAAATGGCCTCCCTTATGTCAAGAAAACCATGCCTGGTTCTCTTTCTCTGGGGCCCCCCTACCCTCTCTGCTTACAGTAGGAGGGAGACAGCCTTTGCATGGTTGCCCTTTGCACACCCTTTAAAGTTTGTACATACGCAGAAATTGTTTAAGAATAAATACAAATAATATTTTAACATTGTGTTATTTGAATCTTTGTCCCCAAAGAAATAAGTCCCCAAATGAGATGTTTGCATTGAAAATGATTAGAGTTGGAAAAATGGAACATGGAGGAAATATTTATGGATTTGGATCTGAGGAAGGCAAGTCTGAAGTCAGCGTCTTCGATTACGTGGAGACACGAATGACAACCATCTGTGTCGCATCTCTGCTACGCCGGCAGCAAAGAGGAAGTAGGGCAGAAGGGACTGGAGTTACAAACAATAAGATCTTTACAGAGATCTTGGCTCTGGGTCTGAGCTTCTAATTAGGTCGCTGGACCACGCTCTCCGAGGGGAGTTGCTTAACGGTCTCTTCATTATTCTGTTTCCGTATCATCTTCACCAAACACACAGCAAATGACAGTTTCCCTGACAGCTCTGATTTCTGCCTGAGGCAAGAGAGCCGCAGCAGGGGACTGCAGGCCAGTGATGGCTGAGGAGACGTGCGGGTCACTGCGGGCGGCAGGAAGCGGCCAGACCTGCTCTCCTGACGGGGTAGGGCCCAGCACTCAGGAGCCAGGCACAGTGGCCTCCAGGCGGAAGGCACACTCGAGACAGAGCCACAGAGCTGAGCTTGGGAAGTGTTGGGCCAACTGATGCCCCTCAAATTCCAACGACCCCCATTCCTGGGCTCTCAGAGTCTCACCCTCTTTACTGGGCATGTTGCCCCCAACAAACTAATAGCCCCAGGTAATCAGATCAGAGTCAGACCCCACGGCCCTTCACGGACCCTAAACCTCTTACCAAATCTACAACCAAGCAGAGACGTGTGCCCGAGCTGATCAGGCACCTCGTGGCCCAACCTTATAAAATACCCCAACAGCTGGCCCCTGGGGCTCACACAGGCACCTCTCACCTGTGTGGCCCGCTGCTGCCTATGTCAGTGCACCCCAGTCAACTCCTTTCTACTCCCATACTTTATCTCTGGTAAATTCTTTTACCCACCCATGTGCCGCCATGTCACCAACTGGCCGCCACATTGTGTCTCACAACAGGAAGCCCTCCGGGATGGACTGGAGAGAATCTCCCGCAGGAGTGTGTGTGAGGTGGATCCAGGACCTGCACCGGCTGGATGCAGAAACTAAAGGAACATTCTCAACAGGAGAGGGAGGAGTGGGGAGACAGCTGGTAGAACCATCAGAGAAGTAACATGAAGGCAAAATAAATCAACGTCTTGATATTTGGGGAGGCTTCAGTTTCCCCTGTCAAAATGTTAAAAAGGGGAGACTTTTGTTTACCTTTAATTTCTTTGAAGGTCTTGTTTCTTATTCTCCTGCCTCTTGGCTGGATTTTCTCTAAGTTTCCAAGCGCCCTAGAACACATCTGGGTGTTTTGCCCTTTGCTTAGAGCTCCAGAAAAGACTCTCCATGGGTGAGGGGCTTCTGTAGCCTCTTTGGGGGGTGAGGAGGGCAAGACAGCTCCCTTCTGTTAGTGGAACAGACCAGGGCCATATGACTCAATGTTGTGATTTAAGAGGTTGAAGTGTCTTAGGGAAAATACACATTTCTCAGTTGCTGGGGACATGGTTATTTTTCAACCTAATGAATTATCTGTCTAGCAACAAAAAGATTTTGACATACCTTAAAATACAAATGTTTTTACAATAAAGAGTTTAACGGAAAGGAAAATTAGGCCAAATCTCAACATGAAAGCAGAGGACTGTGAGTAAACAGGATGCCTACAATCCGATTAGCAAAAATGTGAGCCAAAATTCAAGTCTATTTCTTGCAGCCAAAATAAGACAGCTGAAATGCAATGCCCCTTGGGGACGTCACTTACTGGCTTGGATTGTGTAAGTGACCAAGAGCAGATTCTTTTCTTGGAACTGGGTTTGATTTGAGGGGAGAAAAAAAACACAGGTTCCCCAAAGACAATCAAGTCTGTCTCTAATATTCTGCCCTTCTCGTCTCCCACTCCCAGGATCCAGTCACAGACAATGACTCTGGCCCTGACACTCCAGTCTCTGCCCTGAACCACATCTCGGCTGCAGGTTAGCAGGAGGCCTGGCTCAAAACAACGTTATGAGATAGGTGGGGTTTGGATGTTTGTTGTTTTTTGTGTTTCTTTATTCAAACCCTTCTTCCTCCCTTCTCTTTGTAGCCTTTCTTAGTCTTCATTCTTTTTTTTTCCTCAAAGCACAGTTCTAAGAGTGATTCCTTGGTCAACTGGTGTAGAATTATGTCCCAACAGAATGGGTCAGCTGCATGGTGTCCTCATACCAACAATGGTTTTCAACACGTGAGTAAAATGATTGTTGCAAGGAGCTGTGAAGGGGCGAATAAGGGGAAAAGGGAATGCTGAAGTCAGGAAACGTGGGCTCCCGTCTTGGCCCCTCTTCTATTTATTAGCTGTGAGCACTTTAGGCAAATCATTTCAAGAGGGATTGGTTCTACCACACTATTCTTTATTAATCGAGTTATAGTCAGTTTACAATGTTGTGTCAATTTCCGGTGTAGAGCTCAATTTTTCAGTCATACATGAACATACATATATTTATTGTCACATTCTTTTTTTGCTGTGAGCTACCACAAGATCTTGTATATATTTCCTTGTGCTATACAGTATAATCTTGTTTATTTATTCTGCATATGCCTGCCAGTACCTACAAATTTTGAACTCCCTGCCTGTCCCTTTACACCCTGCCCCCCACTGGCAACCGCAAGTCTGTATTCTATGTCTATGAGTCTGTTTCTGGTTTGTATGTAAGTTCATTTGTCTTCTTCTTTTATTTTTTTAGATTACATATGTAAGTGATATCATATGGTGTTTTTCTTTCTCTTTCTGGCTTACTTCACCTAGAATGACATTCTCCAGGGACATCCATGTTGCTGCAAATGGCGTTATGTTGTCTTTTTTATGGCTGAATAGTATTCCATTCTATAAATATGCCACATCTTCTTTATCCAGTCATTTGTCGTTGGACATTTAGGCTGTTTCCATGACTTGGCTATTGTAAATTTTGAATTAAGTTTCCCTCCAGATACATGCCCAAGAGCGGGGTTCCTGGGTCATATGGTAAGTCTATTCCTAGTCTTTTGAGGAATCTCCATACTGTTTTCCACAGTGGCTGCACCAACCTGCATTCCCACCAGCAGTGTAGGAGGGTTCCCTTTTCTCCACAGCCTCTCCAGCATTTGTCATTTGTGGACTTTTGAATGATGGCCATTCTGACTGGTGGGAAGGGATAGCCTCATTGTAGTTTTGATTTGCATTTCTCTGATAATTAGTGATACTGAGCATTTTTTCATGTGCCTGTTGGCCATCTGTATGTCTTCACTGGAGAACTGCTTGTTTAGACCTGCCCGTTTTTGGATTGGGTGGTTTTTTTTTTCTTATTAAGTCATATGAGCTGTTTATATATTCTGGAGATCAGGCCTTTGCTATGACACTGGTTTTGATACCTCCCAATATGTATCCAGGGTTGAAATGAGCCCAAAATTACCATTCAAAGATCTGGAATGACAGATATGGGAGAACTCAAAGGAGAACATTTCAAAATGTTATGAATTACCTCTAGGAAGGGAGGAAGAAGGGAAGGGAAGGAAATTAAGCCTTGAGAGCATCTGTAAAGTTTTATATCCTGAAAAAAAATATCTGAAGCAAAAAAGGCATAATGTTAAGAATCCTTTCAATTCAATAGTGAGTATACTAATGTAATATTATTCTCTGTTCTTGTTTTTATACTTGAAATATTTCACAATAAAAATGTAAAATAAAGTAAAAAATGAATAAAACATGGTAGGACCCTTTCATATCAAAGTGGAAATGGAGCGCAAAAGAAAGGGTTTATGTCTTCTTGCTTGATTTTTTGTTTTGTTTTGTTTTTATACGAAGCCTTGGGAGCTGTCGGCGGAAACAGTTTTACGTGAGTTTTGAACATCAAGGGTACTGGGATTTGGGCCATGACTGACGCTGGAATCTGGCAAAGATGAAGCAAGTAATCCCTAAGTGTGAAGGAAGGTGGCTGTGCCGAGCCTGAAGCATTACACGTTCTTCTCTTAGTTTGAAAGAGATTCTGAAGCATGACTCAAGCAAATCCTTCCAACAGTTCCGACAACTGCTCGTTTGCTTTGCTTTTTTTAAAAGCACTTTTCAGGTGGCTTGAAAGAGACAGAGATATTATCTGAACTCTAGGAACTGAGTCAGATACGTGAGGAAGGACAGACTGACTCCAAAGCAATGAGAAGTTGTACGACATAAAGGGAGAATCAGAACCAGGGTCAGGAAATCTGGTCCCAAGTCTTGGTTTACAGTTAACCAGCTGCGAGGCACCTACAATTTTCATCACGTATAAAATGAGGAAATGCATTTAAGCAATTTCTAAGGTCACTGCTCACTGTATCACACTATACCTAACTCTCAGTGTTTTTGCACGTTTTAGACATTAAATAAGCCCATCAAATAAACATCTCTTTTTCTCCATAAGATTCCCCAGTAATGAACGAAAAGTGATACACTTCAATTCTGGGATGGAAGCCATTAGGTTCTGCTTTTTGAATTAATATTGATTTTCTTTTTTTAGGGGGGAGGGGGAGACAATTAGTTTTATTTATTTATTTTTAAAGGAGCTACTGGGGATTGAACCCAGGACCTTGTACATGCCAAGCATGCGCTCTACCACTTGAGCTGTACCCTCCCTCCTGAATTAATTTCGTCATCATCATCATGTTTGTCCTTGAGAAATTCTGCAAAAACCTTCTGAGATGACAACCACCCATTCTTGGAAATTAGGTCTGAAGATTTTTTTTACTGAATATTTTTGATATTTTAAAACTGTATTAAGAGAATTCTGAAGACCTCTACCCAGAGAAGAAGACATCTGAATGAGCATCGTGAAGGAGAATCAAGGAAATGGTTAGGTTAACAAGGTGAATCCTCTCGTTCATGCGCTGAGTCTTCACCAAAGGAAATAACAACCTAGTGGATGGCTGTGGCAAAGGCCACTAATGGCCCTGAGTGTCTACTCTTTCCTTCCTTTTGTCAATATAACCACTGGAGCTTTAGCTGGGCAATTGGCTTCCCAGCTACCAGTTGCTTTTCTCAGCCTCCTTTGTGTCTAGATGAAAGGTCTGGCCATTGAGTGCAAGCCGAAGTAACAAGAGCAGCGTTTAGGTCTCATCCTTTGAAACGGGCAACTGCATGCACTTTCCTCTCTTGTCCTTTCCTTGTGGGCTGAAATGCAGACGTGGTGCTAGCGAGGCAGCTCTGACGTTGTGAAGAATGGATGCTTGAGGATGACAATGATAGAGCAACAAGATAAAAGGGACTGGGTCCCTGGATGACTTCACGGAGCAGAGCCACTCTACCAGGACTGCAGACTGCTCACCGGTAGACTTCATGAGAGAGAAATTCAAATCTGTCTGGTTTCAGCTCCAAAGCTGAGGGTCTCTTTGCTACAGTAGCTTAACCTGTGCTCAGATGAATGCAATGACTGAAAGAAAGCTCGAGTTTTTAACAGAAGTCCTAGAGGAGATGGGAACTTTTATCAAGGACTGGCCAGTAAGACTAGGAACGAATACTAGCTTGACTCTAAACAAGGAGAAACAATCAGATAAACTCATGTAGAGAGACATTCTGCAAAACAGCTGGCGTGGAATCTTAAATACTGTCAGGTCATAAAAGACAAAAGGAGGCTGGAATGTTAGATTAAAGAAGATGAAAGGAATATGACAAGTAAATGTAGCACGTGATCCTTAATTAGACCCTAAATCCAAATATACATAAATATGAAATTATTGATACAACTGGGGAAATTAGAATATAAAATACATGTTAGATAAAAAAACATTGTATCAGTGTGCATTTCTTGAGCACTGTGGTTATACAGCAGTTTTGAAGAACCTCGGAACACATGCTATTTAAGGGTGAGGTGCTTAATATCAGTAACTTATTTCCAAATAGTTCAGTAAACTGATAATGACAGAACTACTCATTTTTCTATATGGCCAAATATTAGCAATTCAGGAATCCAGCTGGATCTAGGTGGAGAGTATATGGAGGGGTTTTGGCACTATATTTCTGTAGATTTGAAATTTTTTAAAATAAAATGTTAGGAAAATCACTATAGTACAAAATGGACATGAATGTCCTTTAGACTTTAAGGTAGGAAAAATATTCTTAAATTAATTCTGTAAGGAAATATTGATATATTTTACTATATTAAAATGAAAGAATTCTGCTCATTGAGAGAAACTCTGCTTCTGTGTATTACATATTTTTTGATTTTTTAAGAAAAATTTTTTATTTTTAAAAGTTTTTTCGGGGGGGTGGTAATTTATTTTTGGAGGAGGTACTGGGGAGTGAACCCAGGACCTTGTGCATGCTAAGCATGTGCTCTACCACTTGAGCTATACCCTCCCCCCTATTTTTAAAAATTTTTATTAACTGCCTCACTCTCCTCTTTAGAGATGTAGATTCTTTGAAGGCAAGAATGTTTGCATGTTTTGTTCACTGGTTTATTCCTAATACCTACGGCAGTGTTAGCATACAGTAGGCACTCAAATATACGGTGACTTGATCACTGAAGGAATAAATGAATGGGTTATATAGTTAAATTCTAATATTGGTTAGTAATTCTTTTTAACCAAATTATAAAGCATCGTGGCTCAGTGGGCTTGGTTAAGATCCATTTTGGTTCCGTTTTTTTTGACTCCTTTTCCCTCCCTTAACTGAGGCACTGGGGATTGGACCCAGGACATCATGGGTCTAATCCCCAGCGCACCAAGAGCACACTTTACCACGCCTCCTATTCCCCCCACCCCACTCCCCCTGCACACCCTCCTCCCGGGTTAAGATCTGTTTTGATCAACAATTCTGGAGCTGCAATTTAATTGTGTCATTCAATCCTGTCCGCTCACCCTGAGGATTGCTCTGGTAACTGCTGGTGTTCAAATTCTGACGCTGTCATTAGTTTACTGCTGAACAAGGATCACAGACAAGCCTTATAAATTCACAGTTTTCTTATCTTTAAAACTGGGGGAAATAATAGTAAACACTGCCTAGGGTTGTTCTGAATAGTAAATAAAATCGCACACGTAAAACAAATCGTGGGCTTTACGCAGGTCCTCAGCTGACGTCAGCAGCCGGGCCAGTGTGGCTTAGAGAACTCGATCTGGCCCTTGCCGCCTCTCCATCATCACCTGTACTGCTCCCAGTTTAGGTTTTGTGCCCCAGTCTCCGTGAACTCTTTCCCCTGATTAGTCAGGCTCTCGCTCCCCTGTAGGTCCCGGTATGTGCCACTCCCATGTCACAGAACACCCTTCCTCTAATTTTTTTTAGTCTAACTGCTATCATTTTGTGTGTCTTATCTCCAATATCTTTCCCTCGGAGGGAAAACACTCGGAGCAGGAACTCAAGCTCTGGGATTTGGAATCTTGGAAAGTTCACAACCCCGAGCATGTGCCATTTTTTCGTGCCCTTGTGAATCACAGGGCTGGCACCGGGGCTGATGAAGTCCTGCTAATATAATACACGAGTATCCACGGCCTGCAGGGGTGAGGCCAGACTGACCTCCTACCATCGCAGCCTTGACAGGAAGTGTCTTTGAACATGACTGCTTGCCTAGAGGTAGAAAAATGTTGGCCAGACAGAGTGCTCCCCTCAGACCCCTCCGTTCCCTCCACTGCCCTCTGGCTGGAGGCCTGTTCCTTGTCTCATAAACAGGGTGTCCTCTCTCCTGTCTGGGAACAGCTGGTGTCACCTCTGTCCGAACTGCCTTCCAGGGCAGACACCCAAGCTTCAAGGACTCACGGTCAGTGTCAGACCATCTTTCGGGCACCTGTGGTGGGACACACAGATTTCCTCGGATCCCAGCTCTCCTGACTTTGAAGGGTCTGCCCACCATGGGCACATGAAGCTTGTCTCCTCACGGTAAGTTTGTGAGCGTAAACTGTAATGTGTTAGCCCCTAAACTGAACACAGCATTAAAGGCACACGTGCCGAGGAAGAGAATGTGGATGTTAGCGGAGAACAGAACTCTTCCGACTCCAAAACTGACCAATATGCCGTGCTGTATCATCTATCCCATTATTCTAATGGTTTTATCAGGATTTATGGAGACAGAAAATTCTTACCCTTGATTCTGTTCAAGAAACAATTAATGGGGGAGGGTGTAGCTCAGGTGGGAGAGCGCATGCTTAGCATGCATGAGGTCCTGGGTTCAGTCCCCAGTACCTCCTCTAAAAATAAATAAGTAAACTGAATTACCTCCCACACACACACAAAAGAAGAAATAATTGATGAGCAACAACTGAATGTTGATGATACGTAACATCTCTAGGGGCTGAAAAAAGACAAAGCCTGGTCCTGCCCTTGAGAAACATGGAGCCCAGTGCCTCTGGTCGTAGTCCTGCCATTATCATCCCATTGACAAAAGCTGTCATATTTTTTTCTCCCTTTACCTAGACGTTATCTATTTTTTTTTAAATGCATTTAGTTCTCTCTGTCTGGAATCTTTTGATCCAGTTTTAAGACATTCTCGAGGTACCTTCTAGAACAATATGTCTTTCTGCTTTAGACAAAACATGAATTTCCAAACAATGGAGGCGTATTTTCTGCTTCTGTCCCATCACTCACAGGTGACATCCAATGGCAGGTTGATGCTTCTTGATTTCAGGAGTGCGCTGGGATGACGTCTTCAAGGGGGACTGTATCCGCTTCTTAGACGGAGCAGCCAGGTATGGCCCAAGAGCTTCCAAATCGAGTTTGCATTACTTAAGCCTGAATGTGACACCGTATATTGACACACAACTGTACTGAAGCCCCTGTGCCACTTTCCTGCCAGCGTAAGTAATCCTTCACCTTGGTCGTTTGACGGACTGTCGATTTCAATTCCCGTGGCTCAATGGTAATTCTGTTCTTTGGTAAAAGGTGCCTTGGAAAGTCTTTTTGAAAAAAAAAAGAAGGTTTCACGCTGAGAAAGTCTATTCAAGAAACATGGTACAAAGAGAGGAACAGGGACCTGGGAACCAGACCAGCTTAAAATCGTGTCTGACCCTTGTCGCTTACTCTGTACACGGACTTGGCCAAATCACAGAACCCCTCTGAGATGTGGTTTCCTCAGCAGCAAAAATGAGGTGATAATACTGCAGAGAGGGCGCGGATCAGGGTGAATGCCCATAAGACGTTTAGAGAGTGCCCATGGCGCCGTCTGTCCCATCCCAAGGCAGAACAGGCAGAATTCCCTATTCTGCTGTGTCTTCACTGGTAGCTGCTAGTCATAGATGGCTGCTGAGTATCTGCAATGTGGCTGTTGAGACTGAGGAGCTGAAGTTTTAATTTTATTTCATCTAAATTTAAACAGCCTTATGTGGCTACTCTGTTGGACATCACGGCTCTAGACTACGATGAGTCATCAAAAGATGATAGTCATTGGCATCGTTAGTGACGGAAGGTTTGGATTTCCTGAAAGATGGTCTAAAACAAAGAACCAAACAACCACCACAACAACAACAACAAAAAAAACACAGCAAAACAACTTCGACAAGCCAAGAATTCTCATTAAAATTTTCTGAGATTTTTCTATGAGACCTTATGACACGTTAACATAAGAACACCTGAAAAAAAAGAAAAAGGACACCTAAGTATGGCCTTTTAGATCCTCCTGGCCTCACATCTCTATGTCCCCTCCCCAGCCCTGAGGCCATCGGCTGCCCCAGGACTTCCCGTCCTCCTCACTACTGGCATGGCCACCCCTGCTGTCATTGTGCCCACTAGGGGACAGTCCTCCTGGAATCCTGGACTGAGAGCCCTTTATCCCTAACGCTTCAGCCCTCAAGTCACCAAAGATACTATCAAAGCCCCCGAGGGAGCGAGTGAACTCTTGTAGTTAGCGCTTGAGGTCAGCTTCATCCCAAAGCTTACGAGAAAAATCTCTGAACACGTCAGATCCCACACTCCTATATGCTTTGTTCACCTTGTCACGATAACACAAAACAGGCTTCAGGATTACTCAGTTCAGCCAACAAATACTGCTGGAAGTAATTTGATCACACACGCATTTGTCAATAGTAACTCTACACCAGTTGCTAAAAATACCAACCCTTCTGGGCCAGGTGACCTTGGAGACCTCAAGGTTTGAGTAACTCGGGCTTCAGTAGTTCCAAGCTCTCTGAACGCTAGTGAGTCCGGTCATGAAGAAATGGCTCTAATTGTGAAAATTCCTTTGCTGATGGTTTAGAGTCTTGATTTTATGGTCTGGATAATTAGGGTTTGGTTCTGAAACATAACAATTGAAACTAAACTAGAGACTAGTTGCATGCTTTATAAACCAGACATAAAAAGACCGATCCTAGGATTTGCCAGGAATCTCAGAAGGATGCAGAAACTGATGAGAAATTAGCCAGAACCTTCTTGAGCAAGCAGGAAAAGCGTTATCCAGGTGGACATAGTACAGTGAGGCAAACAGACCCTCTGAGGCCTAGAAACTGATAGCAAGCAGGCATAAGAGCAGAAAAGTCGTAAAGAACAGAATGTTGGAAGGTGCTAGTTGCGCTCGATGATCTGTTTGTTCTACAGAGAAAACTGAAACCCACGAATGTGAATTGTCCAGAGTCCTGCAGTTAGCGAACGGCGACACTCAGAGCGGACGTCTCCTGGTTCTCGTTCTGGTGTCCTTTCTGGTATACCAGAAAGCTGTCCACTGTGATGGCAAATTATCTCCATCCTATGGAGCAACTGACCCTTGGGCAAGAGAAGTCACTTTCTTCATTCAAAAAAAATTTCTTGGCAGGGTTGGGGGGCGGTGAATAGCTCAAACGGTAGAGCACATGCTTAGCATGCACAAGGTCCTGGGTTCAATCCCCAGTACCTCCATTTAAAAGAAAACTAATAAATAAATAAACAGACCTAATGATCTCCCCCTCCCCCCCCCCCGTTTCTTTATCCATCCCAGGGCTTCTCATCAGTCCCAGTGCTCAGAGAAAGACAGCTCTGTTGGCAAACTTGTGAGTCATGTTAGCCTCACAGTACGATTAGTGCCCTTAGAAGAGGCCGGAGAGCTAGCTAGCTCTTTCTACCGTGGGAAGATACAGCAAGTCAGCTGTCTGCAACCCAGAAGAGTCTTCACCAGAACTCGGCCATGCTGGCAGCACGACCTCAGACTTCCTGTCTCCAGAGCTGTGGAAACGGGATGTCTGTTGCTGATAAGCCAGCCGCTTCCTGGTGTCTTGTTTGAGCAGCCCAAGCTGACTCAAGTTGTGTCTCCTTCGCTTCAGAGGTTGGCAATCTTTTGTGGAATCTGGGAAGGGGAGGAAAATAAGTATCAATGCAATCCAGCGCTAACTTAAAGCAGTTAAATGAGAAAATGCAATGATCCCATCAGATATTTGGTAAAGGGAGAGAGTGCAGTGCAGCAGCAAAGACGTGACGAGGAAGATGGGACTTCAGCTGGACCTTGAACGATTAACAAATGAGTTGGAGAGAGGGTGCGTGATTCAGGCGACCAGGAAAAGCACGCGGGAAGGCACAAAAACACGAAGGCAGAGGATCTGAGTCTAACCTAAGGTGGAGGGTAAAGTTTCAGCAGTGATAGAAATCTGCTTGTTTTCACTGCCTTTGCTAATTTCTGAGATGCAACGAAAGTCAGGCTGGGATTGTGTTCTAAACCTACCTGCATTTATGATTGCACAAAATTATTAGTTTTCAACAGTCAGTCGAGAAGGATTCTATTCAAGACCCTCCCAGTCAACAGATGTATTTGCAGGCGCTACCTTCACCTTCTATACCTGAGGACACTGGAAAGCTGTCTTAGCATTCTACATGGAAAGCAGTGGCTGTCAAACTTCATCAGGCATCAAAACCGCCGTGGGAGCTTGTTAAAAGACAGATGCCTGGGCCACTCCTTGAGAGTTTCCGATTCTGTAGGGCTTGGCTGGGCCTGAGAATGCGCATTTCTAACAAGTTCTTGCGATGCCAATGCTGCTGCTCGGAGACCACACTTTGAGAACCACTAAAAGCTGCAGTGAACCCTTCTATTCCCGCTTGTCAAACTTGGTAGTGAGTGATGCCAGCCACAGGCATGGGGAAACTTCGTATCCACAACCTAAATTGGAAAATACAGTGTTTTTGTGGTTAAATGAGCTGAGTTCGTGGTTTGAGTTTGGGAGATACAAAAACAAACATGACAATGTGACTTCTAGAAATACTGTGTCTTTTAACTCAATGGTGAGCAGAGTCATATCAACTTTAATCAGATTTTTTAAAAAAAATCAGAATTATTGCCACTGGTTTGGTGTCTGACCTGTGGCACAGCACGGACGTATTAGTCAGCGCTCTCCAGAGAAATAGAACCAGTAAGAGAGAGAGAGAGTTGTGGAGAGAGGTTTATTTTAAGGAATTGGCTCATGCAATTGTGGAAGTTCCACAAGTCCAAATTCTGGGGGAGGCCCACAGGCTGGAGGCTCAGAAAGGAGGTTCAGTTCTCGTCCACAGGCAGTTTGCTGGTGAATCGGGACGAGCCGGCTTTGTGGGTGAAATCCTAGGGAAGTCGACTGGCAGATCTGCTGGACGGAGGCCAGCCTTTGGTTCTGTTCCCACCTTCAGCGGGCCGGACGAGACCCACTCACACCATGGAGAGCAACCCGCTTTACTCAAAGTCCACTGACTTCAGGGGGAGGGTACAGCTCAGTGGCAGAGCGCATGCTTAGCGCGCACGAGGTCCTGGGTTCAATCCCCAGCACCTCCTCTAAAAATAAATAAATAAGTAAATCTAATCACCTCCCCTCACAAAATAATAAATAAACTAAAATTATAAAAGTTTTTTAAAATAAAATTAAAAGAATGCCAACCATCATGCTGTTACCCTTTAAGCTTCTACAGTGATGAATGTCAAGTATTTCCCAATAAACTGGATAAAAATACATTTAGATGTTAGAAATGGCAGATGAGAGTCAACAGAAATTATTACAATTTTTTTTTTAAAGTGGAGTTAGAAATGACAGTTGTTTTTCTCTCCCTTTGTCACTTCTGAGGTGTTTTCACGTACATTATCTCATTGGATTTTTTTTTTTTTTGGAGTGGGGAGGTAATTAGGTTTATTTCTTTATTTGCTTTTTAGTGGAGGAACTGAGGGTTGAACCCAAGACCTCATGCATGCTAGGCAAGCGTTCTGCCACTGAGCTATTCACCCTCCTCCCCAACAGAAATGATTAATCAACAAAAAATATTAAAAAATAAATAAAATTAAAGGAATGACCAGGTGGTTTTTCTAAACTGGCAGAGAGACAGCACAAGTGTATTCGCCTGTTTAAAGATTAAATCCTAAGTTTGAGGGTCCTTTTCCTCCAATTTGGTGGGTCTTTTTACAGAGATGCTCTGGGTGAAAAAGCAGACCGTTGAATTCACCCTCCCAGCCATCGTCAGACCAGGAGAAGGGGCTTTTCCTGTCCCAGGACATTGTACTCCAGGTGGGGTGAGCACCGCTGACACAGGAGAGGAGGGTATGGTAAAGGCAGTGAGGCCACCAGCGGGCCTCCGTGTGATGCAGAGAGAGCTCATCTCATCACCGCCTTGGGGAGGCAGCCATGGGGCCCTCCCTTTGATGAGTCTAAAAGCTAGAGTGGCCAGGCATGTACGGCTTGGGTGGTTTACAATGTAGGTTTTGTGGTTATTCAGGTACAGCCGGGCCAACAGATCAGTGCTATTGGAAAGATACTTTGCTGTGCTCCCAGATCCCTAGAGAAGGGGGCACATCATGGGGAAGTACCAGGGGCCACACGAGAAGTACCACGTTTGGTCCACAAGTACAATGGGTTGGAGGAGCCTTTATTGTGGGTTCTATGGGAAAAAAAAAACAGGCAAGACAGGATGAGTAGGCTTTGGATCGATGGGTTGGAATAATTTCAGCAGGTGGTGGGGCGTAGGGTCTGTCCCCCGTTGTCTGCTAACTGGCCCAGGGGGATCAGGGCAGGTGGATGGTGGCTCCGCGTGTGACAGCCTGATAGAAAAGGTGGTTGGGGCTGTGGGCTCTAGACTGGTTAGTTTGCTTTTGAAAGGCCTGCTCAAGATGGGTTGTTCACTATCTCTAGAAATTTGATAGAGCTGGGAGGGGCAGGATGTCACTGAAAGGGTGTCAGATAGTTTGCCTGTTAAAATTCTTGGGGATCAGGTTGGAGCTCCAGCATCAGCCTGTAGGCAGGCCCTCCAACCTGGCCAATGGCTGTGGCCCTACCTCTCAGCTGTTGGTTTCATCAGTGACTGTCTTTGGGTCATAGGGCTTGTGTCAGCCAAACTCGATAGCGGGTGGGCCTCGGCATTTGCCACACTGATGACAGCAGTGGCCTCCTTGGAGGGTTTGAGCCTCCAGACTGTGAGCCAATGAGAGCACCCAGACCAACAGCAGTGAGACCAACAGTCAACAGAATGGGGCGAGGCTGCACCTGGCAGTTTTTGTTTTGCTTTGTGTTGTGGAAGTTTATGCTCAAATGGGTCCCCTATCACTAGAGCCACTGCCTGACTCATGGGACAATTTATGGTCAATGAATCCCAGGGGCATATATGCATCCTAGATCGGGCCTCCAGCCCTCTTGGGAGGAGGGAAGGATCAAACAAGTATAAAGATACGGGGAGACACTATTAAAGGACCTCATACATACTGAGCCTTTATATGCTTGGTTGCGAGATAAATTCCCCTTTCAACACAGGGAAAGGTGATGTGACAAGTTCTCTAAATTGGTATCAGATGTGAATCAGCCAAGTGGTCTTGGATTAAGAGAGATTAAGGCCTGGGGCAAGAAAGAGACTTTTCCAGGGGCCTCCAAGGCTAAGACAACTGCCTCAAGTTTGGCCATTTGAGTTGACCCTCGGATCCCGTCCTTTCTCAGGACACCCTGGCTAAGGGATAAAAAGCAGCAACGTTCCCCTGAGATCCATCCTTTCTGACAGCTGGCAGTGCCATTTGTACAATCCATCAACTTCCATTGCTGTGCATTCCGTTAGTCCTGGGGGCTCCCCTGGTAGCCAGGAGGTACAGGGCAGGGTGACCTCCTCCAGCACCACGACATCTGATGGGGGACTGAGCACCAAGGAGGCCACCGCGTCCTGCAGGTGGAATATGCAAGAGGACCCAGCTTTGTCTAATGAGGACTCAAGGCCACGCTGAACTTGTGGGGTGACGTTTCCATGACACGGAGCGTAATGGGCAACGGGGTATGGAAAGGCCAGAGGCTCAGGGTCTATGAGAGCCTCTGTTTCCAGGAGAACCCAGTAAGTGCCCAGTCACCTGTTCTTCTAATGGTGCATAGCACACATCTGGGAAGAGCAGTTTTTTGCATCAGAAGCCCTTCGGCAGTTTATGGCCATCGTAGGTGGTCCAAAGGCTCCAGAAGGTTGTCCAGAACCTGTAGAGTGAAGGGGTCTCTGGGGCACTAAGGGGGTGCCTGTTGATCCTAACTGGGGATGATTTTAAACCTTTTGTCAGGGGGAGCCCCACTTACGGTGGGCTGATTTGTAGGCAGCAGCATTAGCGAGATTAAGTAAAACTCATAAATGAGAAACACACTGCCACCAGATCCCGGAAAGGCCTGAAAGACGTTGGACTTGTACGAACCTGATGAGTTTGTCAAATGACTCTCCCTGGAGGAGGATGTCCCTGATGTGACGCCATTCCTGGGCGCCTGGAGAGAGGTGGGTGCAGTTACCATCTTGTTTGCAAAGACTATGTAACTTGACAGAGCCACTGAGGGTCCTCACGGGCAGCCTGGACAGGTGTACCACAGGCCTTCAGAGGAACAGACTGTAGATGAGAGGCTACTGAGATGGGCGCTGAACGGAACATATTGGCCAATCCTATAACAGCAAAATGTTTACCAGTCGTTGATGGTCAATAATTCTTAAAATAATGAGTGCTGAGCATGGGGGTCTAAGGGACAGGACCACCCCCCAAGGTTGTAGTAACCCATCACGAGGCACCATGTACATTTTCCAGGTTTAAGAATCAGAAAAACTGTGCTTTAAAATGGAGAAACACAGGGAAGGGTACAGCTCAGGGGCAGAGTGCGCAGTTAGCAGGCACCAGGTCCTGGGTTCAATCCCCAGTACCTCCATTAAAAAAAAAAGCAACTAACAATAAATAAATAAACAAGTCTAATTATCTTCCATCTTGAAAACAATAAATAAATGGAGAGGCGGTGGGGCCACCTACCCTTTGATCACTTAGATTCTATATAGTCAGGTTTAATTCTTGAAGGCTCTATTTCCCTTCACACTGGGCCATTTTAATGGGAGGCCCCTGGGGCTCCAGGTTCCGTTTTACGAAGGCAGCGTGTACGTGCCAGAGACGTAACTGAATTCAAATTCATTACTCATGGTGCTCGAATGTCCACGCCCACCACGGGACATTTTGGGACAACAGGCCAGGCATGGCTACCCCTAAAGTGAGGCGGACTTATTTCCCCTCCATTTTATACTTAGTTACTGTCTTAAGATTATAAGGAATCTGGCGTTTAAATTTTGTGGTATCCCCAGGTGTAGCATTCAGTCCATGAAGCTATGTCAGTTCTTTGCATTTGAACAAATGCTAGGGTTATTTAGGGCCAATGCTGTAGAGACACAAAAGCCAGCCAGCACCCTTTTCACTCTTCTGTCATTCAGATTCTTTTAGTATGTAACTTTCAGTATATAGAATTTTATATGTATAAAATTTGTTATATATACATTTTAGTAATACATTTTATATAAATATTAATATTAAATTTTTGGATTTCCAATTGGTCCATACTACGGAAAACGTTTTTACGTAGGTACCTAATTTATTTACTTACCTTTGCTTTCTTGCCGTATCTAGCATTTTGTTTTCTCTCTCTTTTTGGGGGCAGGGTGGAAGGGGAGGGGAGGTGGTTAAGCTTCATTGTCTTAATCATGGTTTTTAGTTCCTGCCTCTTGCTAATAACTCAGTGTGAGCCTTGTAGACGGTTACAGGGAAAAAGATGACGGCCGGGGGCCTGGAGGCCTTCCTTTCGGGCAGCAACTTCCCACCTCCAGGCTTCTCTCCCTGGGGACCCAGATGTGTGTTTGGAGAGCTACTAGCCTCTCTCTG